TAGAGCATTTGGGTGGTAACCTGAGGCAGGGGATTGGGGTGCAGGGTCCAGGGAGGGATATGAGTGCAGGAGAGGATTCTAGCATGGGGGAGGGAAATAGGAAGGAGTACCAAGTCTGGGAGGAAGCTGGGTGCAGTTCTGGCTAGGAAGGGCTTACCTAAGTAGCTCCCGGACAGCAGCACTCTCAAACAGGCTTCCCTTAGAGCATTTGGGTGGTAACCTGAGGCAGGGGATTGGGGTGCAGGGTCCAGGGAGGGATATGAGTGCAGGAGAGGATTCTAGCATGGGGGAGGGAAATAGGAAGGAGTACCAAGTCTGGGAGGAAGCTGGGTGCAGTTCTGGCTAGGAAGGGCTTACCTAAGTAGCTCCCGGACAGCAGCACTCTCAAACAGGCTTCCCTACTTGCCATCAGCCCCCAGGCTAGCTGTTCCCTGTGGCTCTCTGTGCTGCGGGGGAGGGTGGGAGAGGAGGCTTCAAATTGCCCTCACCTCCAGCAAAATCTCTCAGCTCCTATTGGCTGGGAACTGTGGAGCTGAGCTGAGAAACTGTGCTGTGCTGCACCTGCCCCCAACAACATCTCAGCTTCCAGACTATGTCTAGACTGCAGACTTCTTTTGGAAGAAGCTTTCCCGAAGAAATCTTCTGAAAAAACTTCTTCCGAAAGAGAGCGTCTATACTGCAAAAGTGCATTGAAAAAGCGATCTGCTTTTTTGATAGTGTCCACACTGAATAGACACTATCTCACATTTAAGCTGTGATTACTATGGATGGAGTGGCCAGCAGGGCACCTGTGCCTTTTCCTCTTCTCTCAAAACAACTCCTTCTTTCCCATCCACACGCCATTTTCCAAAAGAGCTCTTTCAGAAAAAGATTTCTTCCTCATAGGAAGAGGTTTATCAATGTTGGAAAACCCTTCTGTTCTCTCAATTTTTTTTCGGAAAGAACACGATTGCAGTGTGGACGTAAGTGATGTTTTTTAGGAAAAACAACAGTTAAAAAAAAACACTCTGCAGTGTAGACATACACTGAGCTGAGAGATTTTGCAGAGGCAGCACACAACGCCTCTTCCCCCCACCCCACCCACAACACAGCAAGCCACAGGGAGCAGCCAGCCACTTTGAGTGGAATGGGTCTGCTGTAAGCCACAGGAGCAGGCAGTGGGCCGGATTAAAAGGCTCGGTGGGCCATATCCAGCCCACAGGCTGTATCTTGCTCACTTCTGTCCCATGCTAAGCTACAAATGGACCTAGAACATACTAGAAAGCACCAGCACTTTACCCAGTGTTGCCAGCTTTCTCTCTATTTGGTGTTGTCACAGAATCATATAATTACATCAAAATTTCAGCTTTTTTTTTTTTTAATACAAAGTTTGTAGTTCCCTCATATAAAAAAAAGCAGAAGAGCAGATGCATTCCCGGGATGCAGCCGAGTTTTTCCTCTGGTATTCCAGAAAAACCCCATAGTGTAGACATAGCCCAAGAGTGAGGTTCACATATACAGACATGAAGACAGAGACTAAGTCACAAGAGACTAGGAAACTGAACAAGGGACAGATCACCTGTGGAAAGGACTGGAAGAACAACAGAAGGGTAAGGAGCTGAGAACAAGTATTTTTGTACTCCGCACTTCCACAGTTATAATATATTATACATATTTCTTTTGATCCTAATTTAAAATGGCAAGTATTTAACATTTCTTCCAAAATTAATGGGAACTATTTTCAAGACTTACGCAGCTAATACTTTATTTTTAAAAATAATTCCTTCTTCACAACACAATACAGCTGATGTATTTTCAAATTAGCTACTTTTACATGACAGTATGAATTTGATATTATAGTATACTAACATGCAGAAAAAATACAGCCACAATTAAATACTCATTAAATACTATATACATTGCCATTTACAGTTTCAAGCATTTTACATTTTCAAAAACTGTCAATAAAAGGAAATTATATAAACTGTTATTTAGCTATGCGTGTGTATATATATATATATATATATATACACACACACACACACACACACACACACACACACACACACACGGATTTCAGTAAAAAAGGATCACTTTAAATAACGTTGAAGATGAATGCTACAGGAGTTCAGTTCTTGAATAGTTCGATGCACTTTGGATTTGTTAATTTTGTTCCATGCCAGCCATGAGTGACAAAGCTAAAGACTCCACTGTGAACCAAAACAGATTAAAACAATTAAATATTTTAAATATGCTTGTTTACATCACTCTGCAAAGGTTTTCTGAAGCTGTCTGTTTTATAGCTTACAAAATATATTTTTACTATTCAGATTACAAACAACGATATCTTCTCTCCATCAGGAGATTTCAATTTTATAAATTTCATTACCTGAAATATCTTAAATAATGAGGGATCAACTGTGGAAAGTTGCATTCCTTTCAAATGTTGGTCCTTAGCAAAAAGAATAAATGAATCTTTGTCCTTTGTAAATAATGCCCCCACAGAAAAGATCCCATAACACAGGACAAAATTCTGCTTTAATTTATATCAGTGCAAGCACAGAATAAATTCACTTCAAAAAGCGGACAATTTATGTTCCACCTGCTCTCGTATTTAAGGTCTTGAAATTACAACCATGGCCACTTTTGTATTCTCTGTCCTTGTGAGAAGCCAGTGTCATTTAAAATTAGTAATAGAAACGTAGCCGTGTTAGTCTGGTGTAGCTTTTGCTTCATTTAAAATTACTGTTATTCTTGTACCACTACCCACATCATTACATATTTAGTCCTCCACAGATGCACCTGTTACTTAAACAAATATTTTGTTATCTTTAGAAATATTTAGTGGGTGCAACATTCAGACTGAAAAAATACATGAGAAATACTTAAAAGTCTATCAGCTGAAATGTTTAAGAACAGTGATATTATACCAACATAGATGACATGTTAAAACGGTCATGGCCAATTTAAAATGAAACTCTCAACTCCTAATCGTTAAAATGTAGATTCCTCAGTCAGACTCTGCCTCCATTTGCCTGTTAAGTACTGTACAAGATTATACTGCTACATAATATCTAACGCACCAGCACAAAAAACTACTGGAATTGTTAAAATAAAAGTGGCCATCTTATGCCTTCCATTCTAGGATGTCTATTCTGATATCATAATAAAACAATAAATAAAATACAGGCAGTCCCCGGGTTACGTACAAGATAGGGACTGTAGGTTTGTTCTTAAGTTGAATTTGTATGCAAGTCGGAACTGGCAACCAGATTCAGCCACTGCTGAAACTGACCAGCGGCTGACTACAGGAAGCCCGAGGCAGAGTTGCTCTGCCCCGGACTTCCTGGAATCAGCCGAGAGGTTCAGTTTCCCACATTGGTATGATAAACTTTTAATGTGGATAGACGAACTTTAAGAATAAGCAAAGGTGAGGTGGATACTATTTAGATACATTAAAATTTAAGATGAAGTACCACTGCACATAATTGGATGCCGTGTAAGGGACACTAGCAAATTTGTAATACATCAAGTGATGGATACAAACACAAGCAGTATATAGGTTTCCGTGAATCCATTGTACAGGCAGTCCCCGACTTACATGGATCCGACTTATGTCGGATCCCTACATACGAACGGGGCTTTTCTCGCCACGGAGGACGCGGGTGGTGGGACCGCCCAGACGCACGGTGGTCCCGCCGCCCGCGTCCTCCGTGGTGAGAAAAGCCACTCCGCGTCTCCCTGGTATTCTGGGGGGGGGCACAGCTAGTGCGCCCCCCCCAGAAGACCAGGCTTTTCTCACTGTGGGCTTTGCTCCGTGTCTCCCTGGTGGGCTGGGGGGCCCCCCAGAAGACTAGGGAGACGCGGAGCAGCTTTTCTCGCCGTGGAGGATGCGGGCGGCGGGACCGCAGCGCGTCTGGGCGGTCCCTCTGCCCGCGTCCTCCGCGGCGAGAAAAGCCCCGTTCGTAAGTAGGGATCCGACAGAAGTCGGATCCATGTAACCCGGGGACTGCCTGTAATTCTGTTTAGCTTATAGAAGGCACTACAACATCTGCATAAAAAAGAATATGCAATCTATGTTTAACAGTGATTATTATCTCTGACTACAAATCATCTTTTGTCACATATTCAACGTCAGCCATTTTAAGTGATGTGTAGTCAAATAAATGAGTACCAAATACTTTAAGTGGCATGTGAATTCCATTGACACAGTTAGGATTTACGATTGATGCCAATCATCATTAGCATGTCTAGCCTCAAGGCCTTAGGCAAAATGAAGAAGGATTTGCTGTTCATAACCAAAACAAGGCACACATGCTGTAAAATATTTTTAAATTGTTTTATTAAAAGAAGAGACAATGCTTTGCCAGTCTCACACCTTAATCTTGCTCTTACACAATATAAAAATCAATTTAAATCATATTAAACAGACACATTCCTACAAACTCAAAAAAGCCTACTTTCTGAAAGAAGTTTATAAATGAGAAGCGTTAGTATATAAAAAGACTATTGTTAAATTGTTCTGTATACTCACAATGAGGAAAAGAGCCTCTACAGACTGCTTTATTTAGAACTGTTACAAGAAACATGTGACAATTTTTAAAATCTGATTCCATCTTCTCTATGGATTCCATCCTAAGAAAGAAGTGCAAATTAATTAAAAATATAAAATTGATAATTGACTACATATATATTCCTATATAAGATGACATAGCCTTTCTTTTTAATAATGAATAAAAATGAGTGCTTTGGGTATTCTAAGCTTTCAGGTGAGATAATCTTTCAATTGTGTGTGAATGGAGAGCTTATAGCACAGCCCTAGACAAAATATGGCCCACGGGCTGCATCCAATCTGTGGACGCAGCAGAGATCCACAGGCAGACTGACTCCCTGCTTGTCTTGTCCCACCCACATGCCGCTCAGAAAAGTGGCTCCCGGTCCATTTCTCTTTCAAAACTGAGCCCGGAAAGAGGGGGGGGGAGAGCTTCAGGTACTGCCCCAGCCCTCACCACAATCCCATTGGATTTGAATAACAGGCAGTCACAAAACAATATGCCCCCCCCCTATAGTTATTTACAGACACACACGGCTCTGAAGCCAGTTCAGGGACGAGGTAGGCAGGCAAGCAGGCTGGCTGAGAAACATGCTGGGCTGCTGGCCAAGAGTCACCCAGATAAATCTTCTGGCCAGAGCCTGCCTCTGGTGCCTGGCCTCTCCCTTCCCCAACTCTCTGTCTCCCAATACTCCTCCCTCTATACCACATACCCAAAACCTCTGCTCCCCCTCCTGCACCCATATCCTCTCCCAGATCTGGCACCCCAATCTCCGGTCCCAGGTCATAACCCCCTCTTGTCCTAGGTCACAACCCAAACCCCTGCACCCCAGTCCAGTGCCTGAGGTCACAACCACCTTCTTCACCCAAACTCACTCCCAGATACCACACTTCCTCCATTAATATAAGAGAAAAATGCAGCGCTTGATCACTTACCAAATTCCTAGAGTGACCCCCCCAGCAAAAATTATTGCCAACCCCGGGTGGCTTAGCACAACAATTCTTGACAGAGGCTACTAAGGCACTATCACAACACAATTAATAATGAGCTAACGCCACACTCTGCTATGAATCGAATAGCTAGTAGGATTAGACACCGATCCTGTGTGAAGTAAAGTTACTGTTCCAGTCTAGGAAACCTCTCTTATGCGATATGCTCTCAAGCTCCAAACTGCTTCAAAGCCTAGAGCAGTGGTGGGCAACCTGTAGCTCGTGGGTTGCATGTGGTCCACTGGATTTCGGTGTGTGGTCCACGGAACATTGTTTACCATGGCCCACGTGCAAGTTACCAAATTCTGCTAGTTTCCATTTGTGTAGGTTTTTTCCTCTAGTAGTTTTACTAAAGTAACCAACATGTAAAGCAAGGGCACGTGAAGTGAGGTGCATGCTGACTGCACACAACACTGAGTGAGAGCCATACAGTTGCTCCCCTTCCAAACTTAGCATGGCTACAGCTCAATCAGCACACCTCGCAAATTTGAGGTATGCAAGCACAGTTAACAAAACTACCGTATTCTGGGAGACCATCTTGGTTATGCAATCTTGCAGCCCATCAAGCTGAAAGAGGCCTACTCAGGCAGCCCACTCACTAACCTAGATTGCCCATTGCTGGCCGAGAGCTAAGAAGCTACTTGATTAATTGCTCTTCTTTTTCCCTGATGTGGGTTCCATAGACAAAAAACACGTGCCCAAGAGATGGATGCCCACGGCAAGTTAGCACGTGGATGGCGAGTTCCACGGGGACAGATCAGCACTGAGCACTCCTGAATACTCTGCCTTACAGAAATTTCTCATCTGGTGCCTAAGAATACAGAGGAGGTATAAAGGAAAAAGCAACAGAATATAATACATTTAGGCAATCCTCATATAATGCAAGAGGTTTGCTTAGACATTTATAGGGCTTATTTTTGATACAATGGGAGCCCTGAACTTTCTGGGTGAAATGCTGGTCCACTGAACTCAAAGGCAAAATGTCCCTCAACTTTGACAGAAGCAGGATTTCACCTTCTGAGATAGAACACAAGGTTACTATCAACTAGCCAACTATATCAAAAAGGAAGATTTACAGAGCCAATAACCAAAGGAAGTTTAACTTTTCCTATCTTCCCTTGCCTTTTTACCAGTCCAGAACGAGTCCTTATTATTTAAACTCACAACTCTCGTAAACCAAGTAAAAAATGTCAGTTCCTAGTGCCTGTAATTTTAAGCTAAGCATTAAAAGAAAAAATGTAATTACAAACATGACCATTGAGCCTTTCATTTTATTAATTTATGATTTTTTTTTACATACAACAGCCACCATTATCCATTGAAAAACACTCTGATTATACAACCAACAGGTGCCTGAAGCTGATAAGCTTCAGTTCAGTTGAATTTTATCCTTGTTAACAAAAGGTCATTTCAGCCTCTTCCAATAACCATGCAATGCAAAAAGATATATACTTCAAACACAACACTGGAACCATGAAATGATCACATTAGGACACATTACTTACCTCCAAGCTCCCAAACCAGCCTGCCAACGATCTGCAAACATCAGCACTAAATTCAGCACTTTCATTATAGCTTCTTTCACAAAACTGACCTAAGATAATAATGGGGAAAAATATAAGTAGCTGTAATCAGGAATTTATTTTTAAATTCAATAAGTGCTTCTGTAGGCTGGAAGATGACATCCCATGATGTTTAAAATTAATGTTTCAATTAAAACAATCGTGAGGATATACTCCAATTCTCCAAACTACAATATATGCTTTGTTTACTGGATTAACTATTCACTTCATTCTGTGGTTGACTATTTTGACAATATCTAATGTACCTAGTATTTGGGATAAAGTACTGCTCCAGTGACCAAGTGTATCGCCTACGAAGTGGCAAAGTTTTAAACAAATGTTGACATTTAAAACATCAACTGACAAAATGCAGATAATGAAATATTTCTTGGTCCTATTTATATTTTGTTTAAACTAGTGCATCACCCTTGTTGCTTTCCCACCTTTGTAGGAACTTGTAATTTAGGTTAATGTAGATTATACAATCTGGAATATTTTATAACTGCATTTTAACCTAAAATACTATTTAAATACACTACTGATACTAGCTAAAGCTACTGCAAACAGGTACAGCATACGCTGACTTTGCTGTCTGTACAACAGTAGTTTTCAACCTTTTTCCATCTGCGGTCCCCTGACAAATTTCAAGTGGAGGTACAAAGCCGTTTGGAAATCCTAGATGTAGTCTGTGGACCCACTGAAAAATCATTGCTCTACAATACAACAGTTCAATCAGGTAGTAGAGCTCTATCACATGTGGCACTCTCAGTTACTGCTCACCTTCTTGCTACCCTGATCAGCTGTTTGTCAGCTCAGTGCGGCAGCCATGTAAATTTAAATGAAGCGGCAATTATTTAAATCGCCGCTTCATTTTCCTATGCCTGGTAGCCTAATCTACATGCCTCTGGCGACAGAGACATGTAGTCTAGACGTACCCAAAGTGGAGAACCCATAGGTACCCACATCCTGAAGAATTAGTGTTAGTGCACTGGGTGAATAATAATGTGTTCTTTTTCTAGTACTGTCCCTATAGGTGTTTCACTCTAGGGCTAAGTCTACACTACCAGGTTATTTCAAAATAAGTCCCGAAATAACTATTTTGAAATAAGCGTATTCCTCTTCACAAGCAGAAGTTATTATTTAAAACAACAGGCTTGGTAGTGTGGACACTCGCCTAGTTATTTTGAAATAAGGGGAGTTATTTCAAATTAACTCCTCAGTGTAGACATGCCCTAGGTGACTACTGAATTCTTTAAGGAGCAAGGGCCTTCAGAATTGAGTTCAGTATTGAAGAAAGTACAACTGAGCCACATACAACATCAGAAGCCAAGTCATGAGATATCACACAGCACTTACCAAAAGTACAAAGAGAGGTCCAAGTCACAGTTCTATTTATTTCACTGATGGGAATATTTTTGCAAAAAGCTGTAGAAGTGGCAATAGATCTTATAGAGCAAGTTCATATGCCTGAATGTGTTTGGAGATTATAAGATTGGTAGCAATAGCTAACACAATCAGTAATGCATGTGGGAAGTCTTATATTGCAGAGCCTTTTGATTTATCTGCAATCGAGACTAATAATTTGGGAGACTTTCTGAATGGTTTAGTCCTGTCAAGATCGAAGGCTAAGGCTCTCCTGACATCAACTGTGTGTAACACATCCTCTTTGTTTGAGGTTTAGGGTAAAAGATCAGAAAGTGAATGCATTAGTTAACATGGAACTCAGAAGATATTTTTGGTAAAAACAGGTGTGGCCGTGTGAACTTGTCTTTGAAAGGTAACATGAACAGGGGGTATGCCAAAAGGGCCGCCCATTTCCCTAACTCATTATGCTGATGAAAGTGGTGGCTACCAGAAATGCTGCTTTCAATTGAGAAATGGAGAACAGAGATTCTATAAGACATTTAAGAAACAGCTTGAGGTCCCAAATAGAGTAGGACTCTTGACTGGGAGAAATACATTTCTGAGACCCCTGAGGAGCCTCGTCATCACTGAGTGGGCAAATACAGAAAAACATTCAATTCAAGAATGGAAAGAAATGGTTACTTTTAAAAACCATGGTTATTTGAGATCTGATGTAACCATGTATTCCATATAGCTGTGCATACACATAGCACATTAGAACCAAAGAATTTTTTCTAGCAGTACTGTCACACCTAATGACCATAGCCTCTCCTCTGGCAACATGAAGTCGAGTCTCCCTGACACCCTCCACCTCAGCTCCTTTACAAAGAACACTCAGAAACTAGAGTCTGATGCATAGGATGGAGGGTCAGTCATGGAATACACACATGCACCTTGTCTCAAAGAACCACAGCTGAAAAAGAAATGATTACTCACGTTAAGTAAATGAAGTCATGTATTCCACTTAGGTGACTCACAAGCAGTACCCACCCTAGAAGGTGGGGTTCAGAATCTACCTAAAACAAGGTTAGCAGGTGTACCCACCAAAATGTTCATCGCCCTGAAACATGCGATACCAACATAATGGTTCAGAAATACACAATGAAGAGGTATAGACAAAGCTAGAGGCTGAAACTCTCTAGTGCATCACTCTCTGGTCAGACAACATCTGTGGTCCAGCATGCTTTTGACTAGCCGGATGTCAGAGGAATGGCCATACTGGGTCAGACCAAAGGTCCAACTAGCCCAGTAACCTGTCTGTCAACACTGGCCAATGCCGGTTGCCCCAGAAGAAGTGAACAGAAACAGGTAATCATGAAGTGATCCCGCTCCTATCATCCATTTCCAGCCCCTGAAACAGAAGCTAGGGACACCATTCCTACCCATCCTGGATAACTGACTGATCTATCCTCCATGAATTTATCTAGTTATTTTTTGAACCCTGTTAAAGTCCTGGTCTTCACAACATTCTCTGGCAAGAAGTTCCACAGTTGACTGTGCACTGTGTGAAGAAAAACTTCCTTCTGTTTGATTTAAACCTGCTACCTATTAATTTTATTTGGTGAGCCCTAGTTCTTGTTATGGGAAAAAGTAAATAATTTTTTTTATTCCCTTTCTTCATACCTATTATGATTTTATAGATCTCTATCATATCCCCCCTTACTCTACTCTTTTCTAAGCTAAAATGTCCCAGTCTTTTTAATCTCTCTTCATATGGCACTCATTCCAAACTCCTAATCATTTTTGTTGCCCTTTTCTGAACCTTTTTCCAATGCCAGTATTGCCTCATCTCAGAAAAGCTATCACATCTATATGCAGTATTCAAGATAGGGGCATACCATGAATTTGTAAGAGGAAATAAGATATTCTCGGTCTTATTCTCTATCCCTTGTCAATTATTATGAACCCATTTATCAGGGCCAAGTTTCCCATGGTCCTATAAAGTTTGTTAACAGACACCAGGTCTGACTTTCAGTGTTCTATGCTGTTATTTATCTCTAATTTACCTCTAAATATCTTTATGCCAGCAGACATGTTGTCCAAGAACCTGAGACACGTTCAAGGCATTGTGGAAGGCTGAGATTGCAGAGTAAGGGAAATGACTGAAAACGGTTAGTAGAAATGCTCTTAAACTTGAAAAGTCTGAGGGCCTCAATGAACTCTATTTTTTTAGTAGGAACCAAAATTGACTTTATTGTTTAGGATGAGACCCATTAGCAGACATGGTGTAATGTTGAGACATTCAGACAAAGATCGCTTGCCCCCAGAGTCCATTTGGTGAAAAACCTATAAACAAAACACACCACTCCTTGCTGTGAGCTGCATGTAGGCATAGCAAACACCCATGTGGGGATTGTTCAATATAAACAGAAAAGTACTAAAAATAGAGTGATTTGAGATGAAAATCATACAGAGCTCTGACTCCAGGCAGGACGAACTAGAGTGGGTAGTTATTGGCACAAGTGCTGCCCCTCTGCAAGTACTGCTTGGCAAAATTCTTTAGCTGTGTGCAAGGTGTGCACACACTTAAGTGGAATGCACACCTGCATCTACTCAAAAAAGCTGCTATGATGGCTGCCAGGTGCACTGTAATAGAACCCAGTGACTGTCCTGAGCTTTTAAAGAAAAGTTGAACATAGCGCACTATATCTGACAGCAGCCTCATGTGTACCAAGTTGGAAAGCAGTAAGAATTGAAGTCAGTGAACTCGTCGGAGACTGACTTCTCTTAGGTTAAGTCCCTACCTGGAAAATTTGAAGGATGGTCTCTGGAAATCTTACGAAAGGAATTTTGGGTCTTCCTCTTAGATGCCCTTAAGAAGTACAGTTCAGAGGCAGCAGACTTACTCAGAGACCAACGTACAGGGGAGGTCCCTGATCAGTGTCCGAGGTTGGACATACTGTGCTCTCCACTGTGAGGAGTCCAAGTTAGTGCTCTCTGTTTTCTGATGGCTCTAGATTTTAATGCAAGACGCAAGTTGCACTTTTAGAAAATATAATATTCCCTGAGGCAACAGGTGCACAAGGCGTGTCACTAAGTCACTGGGACTTCCTGTTGGTACAGACAGGCAGTGTCTGAAACCAGAACTTAGCATATCCTCCCAGTAAAATAAAAACTCCCAGAAGAGGAGAAATTACATCTCTAGAAGCTATATATTAGAAAAAAAAATTAAAAAAGCCAAAACAGCAGCTAAAACTATTACTAACTACAATAAGAACCACTATAATATGCTACTAAAGGAGCTAAAGCAACACAACTGGGGTAAAATCATGCAGATTACTGATAAGACTTTGTCCCAAGCAAAGGCTGGTTTGCATGTACAATAGCAGCTTGGCACACAATACTAAACAACATTTGTGTGGGCCAAATGAATTCTGCTATGAGAAATCTCCAGTCAAAAAGGCACAGGGGACACAGGTGCACCTGGAGTAGAGCACTAATTGGGACAGGACACAAAAAAACACCATAGATTTCTACATCTTCTAGCCATAGATGACCCGTATACAATTTGAAGTAGGGCTGGATTGTAATTAAGGATATTATTCTGAATGGGAAGAAAATGCAAATTTACAGGGAAAATAAGTCAAGGGTAACTGGAAAGCCTATTGCCTCTCTACAATATCTAGAATGCCCATATGTAAAAGTCCAGTAAATACCAGATCATTTGTAATTACAACATTTCCTTCTTTTGTTGAGCTGAAAATATCATGTATTCCGTTTTTCTTAGATACATACCTTTTCTCTCAGCAGGCAACGATCATGGATTGTAGACAAATATCTATAATGAATTTTAATCAGTTGATCTAAATCTTTGGCTTCTTCTACCTGGTGCTGAAACTCCAAACCTGTACTGTGAAGAATCTTTAAGAAAAAGCAAGGATAATTAACATGATCCTCTATGATCGGAAACCCTATAGTTCTCTTCTCTACACTCCCCTGTGAAGTTCTTTTTAGAATCTGAACCTCTATTGTTCCTTGACTCCTCCCTTCCTCCATCTGCCTTTGATATTCAGTTTTATGGCCAGCATCTGTAGACCGAAAACTGAACTCCATTTGTCAATGACAGTCTTTAATTCTACAGAGCATGGGTTCTAAAACTTTATTGCACTGTGACCTCCTTCTGACAAAAAAATTACTACACAACATTAGGCAAGGGGTAGGGGGGAAGGAGAAAGGAGCTGAAGTCCAAGCCCTACTGTCCTGGGGAAACCCTCAGACTTCAACTTCAGCCCAGGGCAGCAGGGTTCAGGCTTCAGTTTCAGCCCTGGGTCCTAACAAGTCTCACCACTGTCCTGGGCACACCCATTAAAATGGAATCGCAACGAGTTTAAGAACCACTGTGATAGAAGCTTTTAGTTGTACCATGGATTGAATATGCCCCTTCTATAGGTATTGATTCAGGGCATGCTATCATTAAAAATCCCAGCTCCTGAAGGCCTAGGAATTAAGAAACTGGGATTCACAAAAGAACTCAGAACCTATTGCCTAATAAAGAGCATCACCATTAAGAAAGTTGGCCAACTTCTATCTGTTCTTATTTCAAAGAGGATGTATTAATACAGAATTGAAATTCATATACAGCAGTAGGACAAATGTGACTCTACATAGGTTCCTGTTTCATTTAAGACAATATGAACTTTTGGAAATTAACAGTAGTTAACTCCTAGAGGCACCCATGTAAAGACACAACTTTTGCAGTCATCCTAGCAGGAGTGCACAGTAATAGCATCTTACTGAAATGTACTTTTCTCTTGACACTAATGTCCTCGCTTTGTAAACCTTTGGAAGTAAAAAATTAGCCTTGAAGAAAAGTGCTACTAATATAAAAAAAGAACTGTGCATCTTAAACTCCTAAGTCTATTTAATATTTACTGATTTAAGAGGTCTTACTTAAAATTCAAACATTTTAAATATACATTCCTTGCCTAAAAATTGAACAAAATAGACATTAAGTGAAGACATTACTTAATTACATATGCATAGTCAGAAGTTGTTTTGAATTAGCAATGTTTGACTACAGTAAGAAATTCCTAAAATACGTAAGATTAATGTAAAAGGACGAACCCTGGTCATGATGTAGTTATGCAAGCTGTTAACAAAATGCATGAGTTTCACTCTTAAGAGGAACATGCGGTGAATTTGTTGTTTTATCATATCTGTTTGTGCTCCAAAGTGAGGAACTGTCTCTTGTTCTAACTGAGGTCCATCCTTAAGCTGTGGTTTTTCTGTAGCACTTACTAGTTCTAAAAGTGGAGAGGAAAAAGATTAGGTGAATATTTATAAAACAGGTACTGACTACATTTCAAAGTTAAAATTAAAATGTAATCCTTGTATTAAATTATCAGAATAATAATATACTGAAATAAGTATCTGAATTAAAGGACAAAGTTTATCGGTAGTTACGTTACAATCATATATCAAAATAATAATTGGAAGGGGATATTATGATGCAATTAGTTTATGTTTGCTACATAAAACTTTCTATCTTTAATATGTAAGTGCCAAGGTTTATATATAAAAATATTTTTTAAAAATTACATGAATATAATCTTATTTCCACAAAAGGGAGAACACACTGCAAAGCCCAGTCATACTCTTACAAAATTAAAATTTTTAGTAAATCAGAAAGTACAGTTTTCAATACCTTCAGTGACACGACAATTCAATAGGGTTACAAAAACATGTTTAGGTAAAACCTGAACCCAACTACTCAATCTACATGACATTTATTTTTTTCAAAAGGTTAAACTACAGTGGACTATTTTATATAAAGCTCTTAGTAGTATAATCCCCAAAAAGGCCACTAAAGTGGAATATTAGAAAATCTCCACTCCCTTTCTCCCCCACCCTAATTAAGAAGCTCAAACTTTCTGCAAGCACAGAAAAATTATACTCCAATTCCAAGAACACATTCTGACCTACAAACATTTACTTTGTAGTGTCAAAAGGGTAACCATTTTCACAACCCCTTAGGACAAGAGGTAATATTATGGTCATATTGGCTGCACTTGCATTAGTATATGATGCACAGGATTTCCTTCAGTAGCCATGGCTGAAGAATTAATGAGCAACAAATCTAATATTTGAAAAATAAACAAAAAAAACCTCACTAACTCTAGCTGAATTAAGATATGATAGATGGCAGACAAAGCACACTGACCCAATTCTGTATTTGGTGCTTAAATAGCCTATCATAGTGATGATTGTAAAAGAAATGCCTCAAATATAACCAGCTATATTTAATGGGTGTGGTAAATGAGTTCAGATATGATGAATTCTGTAAAGCCTTCAAGGATCCAACTAGTTTATAATCTCTTAATCTGGATGCTCATACATCTGTTACCACAAGAGAGACATTTGCCATCAAGACAGCTGGACATTACCCTTAATGTCAATTTTACTTCAAAAACTTGACTTCCAAAATCATTTAGCTGTACACATGAGCCTTACTTGAAGACCAGTGAAGTCAATGTAAAGACTCCTATTCATTTAAGTGGGTTTAGATGAGATCCCATGTGACTTTCGCACTGCTCAGCAAAATGAATTTAGCAACTAACTTTCCCTGTACTTTGTAAATGGTACAAACAGTAGCTATTATACTGCAATACTGACTTTTCAAGAAGGTCACTGTAATACTGGATGTATTACAACAATGGTGAATAGCATGGATACCAATATGCCTTAAAACAAGACTTTATATTTTCATTCATACAGATTTAAGATTAAATATTTCTTGATAAAGAAATTTCTTACCATCAAATCGTAAAACATCTAAACTATACTTGGCCCACTTTATTTGTAGCAAGAGAAGAAATACTTGATTGTAAATTTTTTGACATTCTAAACTTATAACTATGTCCACAGGCCAAGGGACCTAAAGAGGAAAAAAAAAAATGATTAAACAATTTGCTGTTACTTCTAGGGATGTTAGATACCGGGTAATTGAATAGTTGAGTAACCCGCATGACTTCTTATTGGTTACTTGACTATTTTATAGTCTTCAGGGGTACGGCCAGCAGCCAGTGTGCCTCTGAAAGGCAGCAAGAAGGGGTAGAATACATGTAGTCGAGAAGCTTAACCGATAAGCCTAGGCTTATTGGTTAATCGTATAGTCAACTACACGTTGACATTCCTAGTTATTTCAAATGTATTTTAAAATTAAAGCAAAAGAAATATTTTACCTTGTACCCTAGCGTTAAACCATCTAAGGTATGGACAGGGAGTTTCTTCTTTGCTGTATCAACACTTTCAAATGATATAGACAGCCTACAAACAAACAAATATTCTAGTTGCAGATGGTTTGCACTAAACTGGTCACCACATTAAAACGGTTCGTTTTAATCGGTCATTGCTAAATATAAATTGTCA